TATATACATGAATAAAAATGTATTCACCCTAGACATGAGACTTGCAAGTGTTGTCTTGATGGAGAAAGTCAGCATGTTTTTTTATGTTTAAGTTACCATAGTAGTTAGTAAAAATGTGAAGAACAGGCTATAAAAAATGTTTTGTTTTGCAACAACTTTTAAAAAATTAACATGAGTAGTTTATACAAAACTTTATTGCGTTTGGTGATCATCCCCCAAATTTGGCCATTGAAAAGCCTTGATAGTTGCATCCTTCCTCAGGGAACTGTCTGCTGATAGCTGGCAACAGGGTGGCAGGTTTTTTTGATGTGCTGCTCTAGAGTTCCATGGCCCAGCAGACTCACCTGGGGATGGACACATGTTAGTTTGTCTGGGAGACTTTTAGAGGGAGGAAATAGCATGAGTTTTGGAGTGAGTACAGCATATCCAACCAATGGCCCTGGATAATATGCTATATTTCGTCACACAGACAGTCAGCCATAGTGAAGGAGGTTTAAATAGTGCATAAAGTATATTACCACCAGCGGAGCTTACTTCACTGCTCTGGAGAGATCTCCGGTAGTTGGTCAGAAGGCTCTGGAGGTCCTTGGAATATTCTCTCTGTAACACCTGTAGAGGTACTGAATGGAATTGAAAGAGATACTGAATCCATTGTTGATTATTGAGGACTATAAGGGTGCCTTTCAATCAGACATATGGATGCGTAAAAGGCACAGCAACTCAATGTCTTTCAAAGGGATGAGCATGTTGGGGAGAGGGGGTTGTGTTGGGCTGTCCTTCAGAAAAGTTGCAAAGACTATCCTTCAACCAATTAAAAATGTAGAACAGTGTTTTTCCCTTACCAAACAGCTGTGTTGGACATGCATTTTGGTTTGAAGGTAGCCTTACTCTGTGGTTCAAGTTCTTTCTTCATGTCTGTAACTTCGCTCTCACTCCACCTAAACCCTCACCCCTGACCTCCCAATGGCCCAGGGCCTCCTGCGAAATTTTGACAGTGAGTTACTCCAGGAGTATACAGCTTTATGGTGCATAGGACTTCTCCACTACTCATATGAAAATATGCACGACTTACTGACATGGAGTGGTCCATGTTCCTGCCTGTAGCAGGCCTCAACGTGGATGTAGGGAAATGTCCTGCCGGACTCCTGCCTTGGACTATGGTTGTATCTATCTCCACCAGGCTCCTGGAAATCAGATGACAAACCTGCAGAGATTAACAAAATAATATTGTTCCTGTATTTAGTCAGTTGAAGTCATGACAGCCACATGTTTTTTTTTAAACAGGAGTGTACAGGTTGTTGTTCCAGTACTTCACTAACACCTCATTCAACTACTGTGGTCTGAAATTGGAGAACAGATTGAACACAGTTCAGTCCCCTGGGACAGAAATCACCCACGTCTGTATTATTGAATACGTTACACGCTTACAATTCTGCATGATAGAGAATAACATGTGTGGATCTAGTTCTATCTAACTTTGTGAATAAACTCCAAAAACAAGTTTCAATTTAGCTAGCTAGTTAGCTGGCTAATGGCATTTATCTCAACTTGATCAGTCAGATGGTTAACTAGCAAATATTATATTTGTTTTCCCCTCGCATCTAAAGCTGCCTGATGAAGCTAGCCAGTTGATAGTAAAGCTAGTTAGGTAGCTAACATTAGCTGCTGTCAATTTAATCAGAAAAGTACCATTATATTTCACTTGTTAAACTACTGTCATGCCTTTAATTTAAAAAAATCGATGTACACATATACAATAGATGATTACCTTCAAGAAGATCGGTTTAATTCTAGTACTTCAAGCCGAGGAGTAATGTCGAGGTGACTAGTATGGGCCGCCTCCCTGACGGACCTACTAGCTTCATTCACACGGGGGTAGTCTTTGCCTGTGGATCTTCTCTTGACCTCACAGGGTGGGTCAACTCCAACTGTGCGTTGTAGGCCTGGATTCCCAGTGAGGCGGAATCCTTGTCTTCCTACCGTGAGCTGAGTTAGCACTGAGCTCCACTTTATCAACCGGGTTATCCCTCTTGGTCTATCCCTGCTTGCCACAGAGGTTAGCTCACTCCTTCCTACTGATTACACTTCAGGGGTAGTTTGTGACATGGTATACTACGCGTCAGTGGGGGCTATTTTTGTGTACAACACCAACAATGAATCCATTATTTATTTATAGTCCTCTCTGTACTATTTTATTATGTGGCGCGGCTCTTACTGCGTGATTTTTAGCTGTTCACGCAGGATACGTTCCGCCACGGGGTTAAACTAGTTATTATAAGTGCGGCAGAATCTCAGACACTCCTGCTAGTGGCTGGTCCTCCCTATGTAATTGACCAGACAGCACCCTCACGGGTGAGTCACACTCTCTAGGTCCCGGGTATAGGGTTTCATTTAAAATTAATTAATTACATTTAACTTAACTGTTTCATCTGGGTGCTCCTTTAGTGTGCTATTTTACATAGTTAACCCTCGATGGTCTGGCCGCGGGCCACCTTAGGTGTATCCCCTGAGCCTGTAGTTGTTGTAATGCTACTCTACTTCCTGACTGCCACACAACCAATAAATGAACTATACTGAACAAAAATATAAATGCAACATGCAACAGTTCAAACAATTTTACTGAGTTACAGTTTGTATAAGGAAATCAGTCAATTTAAATCAATTAATTTGGCCCTAATCTATGGATTTCTCATGACTGGGCAGGGGCGCAGTGGGTGGGCCTATGCCCTCCCAAGCCCACCCATGGCTGGGGAGCCAGGCCTATCCAATCAAAATTAGTTTTTCCCCACAAAAGGGCTTTAATACAGACATAAATTGTCCTCAGTTTCATCCGCTGTCTTGGTGGCTGGTCTCAGACGATCCCAAAGGTGAAGAAGCCGGATGTGGAGGTCCTGGGCTGGCGTGGTTACACAAGGTCTGCGGTTGTGAGGCCGGTTGGACGTACTGCCAATTTCTCTAAAACGATGTTGGAGGCGGCTAACGGTAGAGAAATGAACATTAAATTCTCTGGCAACAGCTCTGGTGAACATTCCTGCAGTCAGCATGCCAATTGCGCGCTCCCTCAAAAATCTTTGGCATTGTGTTGTGTGACAAAACTGCACATTTTAGAGTGGCCTTTTATTGTCCCCAGCACAAGGTGCACCTGTGTAATGGTCATGCTGTTTAATCAGCTTCTTAATATGCCACACCTGTCAGGGGGATGGATTATATTGGAAAAGGAGAAATGCTCACTAACAGGGATGTAGACACATTTGTGCACACAATTTGAGATAAATACGTTATTGTGCGTATGGACAATTTCTGGGATCTTTTATTTCAGCTCATGAAACATGGGACCAACACTTTACATGTTGCGTTTATATTTTTGTTCAGTATAGTTAATGAAAACCAGTAACACTTCTCTTTTGGTTCCACAGCTTCACAACTGATGGATTTTATTGATTTTTATAATGCAGTAGTTTCTGACAACAACAATTGTATTCTGTTCTTCCTTTGCCCCAAAGTCTTCTAATACATCAATCAGCTCCTGATCTGTCTTCCCCCGAATCTCCTTTCCCTATTTTTTATATTGGTTGTCATGCAGTTTCGCCCAAGCCACACAACACATCCTCCCCCTTATACGTGACATCTAAGCTTTGTTACCTTTCCTAAAGACTGGTTTGAAGTGGCTGTAAGTCGCTCTGGATAAGAGCGTCTGCTAAATGACGAAAATGTAAAATGTAAGCAAAGTTACATAACACATTGTCTCCATTACACGTGATGTCTACACAGCGTTCGGTAACACGTTTCCTTCATACATGACGACAATCCGTGGTGTCATCTGCTTCATGGCCCACGTGCCATCAGGCAACTCCACCAGCTCCATCCCAGGACTTAAGTTCGAAGGGGGTGTCGCCATATAAGATGAACCCCCGCCCTCCGGCAGAGGAACATCTGTATACAGTCTACCGGCACCAGTCACTTCCTCCCTGCCCTTGACTGTGTTTTTCTGCTCTCTAGCTGCTTGTAGTTGAGGCCTCTTCCTGTTCTTCTTGCGCTTCTTCTTGATCTTTCTTGTTTCAGTGTTCCCAGAGTTCTGTCTGGGTACTGGAGGAGTCATCAGGTCAAATTGACTAGGCTCATTCACAACAGTAAGTACTTTGTAGAAATTACTTCTCTTCTCTTCAAGTTACTTCCTGAGATTTACAAAACATTCTACAAGCTTATGAATCTCTTGGTAACGTGACAGTAGTGACAAAACTCCAAGCGTGCGGACATAAAAAATCTGCAAGTGTATTTTTGATTCACAGCAGAATATTCATAGTCGTAAATGGACTTGTAATAATTCTGAAAAATCATTATGCTTGCAAATCTTATTGAATGTATTCAAATGTCAAGTTACAAGTTTGCGACCGTTGTTACATTTTTCACACATCATGATACAAGCTTGGAAATTAAATTACACATTTGCGAATCGGACAACAATATTCAATGTGCGACCACGAAATAGAAAATACAAACTCACAGGGTTCTGTTATCATTATTATCCCATAGGCTCCACTTATATTCATTAGCATGACCCAGAGGTTAAAATCTGTGTTCCTGTCATCCCATTCTCAGTTTGAGTTGTGTCTCTGCTCCATCACTCCCCTAAACACTGAGGGAGACCCCTCCCACCCCCCTGATCCATCGACCCCCACTCTCTAGTGGTGTCATTAACCAGTCTACTCTGTTCATTAACCAGTTTACTCTGTTCATTAACTAGTCTTCTCTGTTCATTAACCAGTCTACTTCTCACTGACTGATACATCAACTGGAAGCGTTCTGTCACATACTCTTTTATCCTAATTTCTTCTTCCCTGTCTGCTTTGACTGGTTCTCTCCTTTCCTTTACTCTCTCTCCCACTCTCTCTTTCTCACTCCATATCCTTTCCCTCTGTATCTCTCTCATATGGATCTCTGTCACTGAACTTGTGTCTCTGTTGATTCATGGATCATCATGCAGACTCCCCCCGTGTTCAGCCCGCTAAGCCCCACTCAGAAGCTCTGTCGCTGTGATCAATCTGCCCAGCGGTGGCCTCCTGGATCTCTAAACACTGGAGAGATGAAACCTGTCTTTGACGATAGGACACCGCAGAGACAGGGTCTATGACGGGGAGGAGCAAAACATTTCCCCCAAAATTGTCAATTTGACCATGAATATTCATTAGCATGACTCAGAGGTTAAAATCTGTGTTCTTTAAGGCTACCAATTATGAGGACATTTGCATCACCTAAAATATGACACTTTATGGCATTTTATTCTTGGTTGTGTAAACCCTAATTCCCTATTATATCTTAAATGCACCTGTCAATAGTCTACCTCCCCTAAAACCAAAACAACTTTTTTTCTCTCACCTTCTTTCCCTTTGTTGCTCCTCCACCCCTCCCTCTCTCTCCAGGCAGTAGTAGAACATACTATCCTCAGTCACGTGGATGTGTTACAAACAGTCTAGATTAAGTATTGATGTCCTAATTGTCTAAACCCCCTCAGACATACTTTTGTGTGCATGTGCAGTCAGTGTTCTAGAACCTTGGAAACAGGTCACACACATGCGCGAGTTCACAGACAGAAATCTTAGCAACACATTTTTATACAAAGCCATACTCAGTAGATGTGGCCCATGTGGGAAACAACCCCACAACTCCGTAGCACTCTGCTCTCAGCACCTGAGCCATGGCTTTTCAATGAGTCACTTAAGCCTCAGTCCCCAATCTCAGCACTCAATGTCTCATTCTCTCACTTGATCTTATCAATCTTATCTCTAACTTGCTCGCTACCATGGTTGGGTAGGTTACTTTCTAAATGTAATCTGTTACAGTTACTAGTTACCAGTCCAAAATTGTAATCAGTAACGTACCTGTTGGATGACCCAAACTCAGTAACGTAACCTGATTACTTTCAGTTACTTTTGGATTACTTTACCCTTAAGAGGCATTAGAAGAAGACAAAAATGAATATTACCAATTGAACGACATCTATTGCAGGATAAATCAATGTTAGAGTTTACATAGCTGCCGATAAATGGATGTTTCATTTTACTTTATGGGTTATGTACAGTCGTGGTCAAAAGTTTTGAGAATGACACAAGTATTGGTCTCCACAAAGTTTGCTGCTTCAGTGTTCTTAGATATTTATGTCAGATGTTACTATGGTACACTGAAGTATAATTACAAGTATTCCATAAGTGTCAAAGGCTTTTATTGACAATGACATTCCGTTTATGCAAAGAGTCAATATTTGCAGTGTTGACCCTTCTTTTTCAAGACCTCTGCAATCCGCCCTGGCATGCTGTCAATTAACTTCTGGGCCACATCCTGACTGATGGCAGCCCATTCTTGCATAATCAATGCTTGGAGTTTGTCAGAAGTAGTGGGTTTTTGTTTGTCCACACGCCTCTTGAGGATCGACCACAAGTTCTCAATGGGATTAAGGTCTGGGGAGTTTCCTGGCCATGGACCCAAAATGTCTATGTTTTGTTCCCCGAGCCACTTAGTCATCACTTTTTCCTTATGGCAAGGTACTCCATCATGCTGGAAAAGGCATTGGTCGTCACCAAACTGTTCTTGGATGGTTGGGAGAAGTTGCTCTCGGAGGATGTGTTGGTACCATTCTTTATTCATGGCTGTGTTCTTAGGCAAAATTGTGATTGAGCCCACTCCCTTGGCTGAGAAGCAACCCCACACATGAATGGTCTCAGGATGCTTTACTGTTGGCATGACACAGGACTGATGGTAGCACTCACCTTGTCTTCTCCGGACGTGTTTTCCAGATGGCCCAAACAATCGGAAAGAGGATTCATCAGAAAAAATGACTCTACCCCAGTCCTCAGCAGTCCAATCCCTGTACCTTTTGCAGAATATCAGTCTGTCCCTGATGATTTTCCTGGAGAGAAGTGGCTTCTTTGCTGCCCTTCTTGACACCAGGCCATCCTCCAAAAGTATTTGCCTCACTGTGCGTGCAGATGCACTCACACCTGCCTGCTGCCATTCCTGAGCAAGCTCTGCACTGGTGGTGCCCCGATCCCGCAGCTGAATCAACTTTAGGAGACGGTCCTGGCACTTGCTGGACTTTCTTGGGCACCCTGACGCCTTCTTCACAACAATTGAACCTCTCTCCTTGAAGTTCTTGATGATCCGATAAATGGTTGATTTAGGTGCAATCTTACTAGCAGCAATATCCTTGCCTGTGAAGCCCTTTTTGTGCAAAGCAATGATGACAGCACATGTTTCCTTGCAGGTAACCATGGTTGACAGAGGAAGAACAATGATTTCAAGCACCACCCTCCTTTTAAAGCTTCCAGTCTGTTATTCTGACTCAATCAGCATGACAGAGTGATCTCCAGCCTGGTCCTCGTCAACACTCTCACCTGTGTTAACGAGATAATCACTGACATGATGGCAGCTGGTCCTTTTGTGGCAGGGCTGAAATGCAGTGGAAATGTTTTTGGGGGATTAAGTTCATTTTCATGGCAAAGAAGGACTTTGCAATTAATTGCAATTCATCTGATCACTCTTCATGACATTCTGGAGTATATACAAATTGCCATCATCAACACTGAGGCAGCAAACTTTGTGGAGACCAATACTTGTGTCATTCTCAAAACGTTTGACCATGACTGTAGGCTTCTAACCCATTGCTTTCTACTTCAATACAGATAATAAAACAATTAGGCTATATCTTTACAATAAAAACAAATGTCTGTCAGATTTCCAGTCATTCCAATTGATAAAATACCCCTTGATTTTCAAGAATAGGACTTGGAAAAATGGAAATATAGATTAGAGAAATTGTTTTACCTAAACATAACCCAAAGACTAAGGACTTATTAGCCTACTTTGTTGTTTATATTTTTGTTGTCATAGAGGACTGATTGAGCTCATTGCTGACTTGTGGTCAGACTTGCTCAGGTGGGAGCAAACTTAAACGTGTGCCTTTTTTCAATGCTGATTTGCATGTCATTGAGAAAACAGAAAGGTGTGAAAGTATTTTTTTGTTGCAAACATCCTTTTTGGATAAGAAGAATGGCGCCGGAGGGGATGGCTGCCGTTTTACGGGCTCCTAACCAATTGTGCTATTTTGTGTGTTTTTTCGCATTGTTTGTAACTTATTTTGTACATAATGTTGATGCTACCGTCTCTTATGACCGAAAAGAGCTTCTGGATATCAGAACAGCGATTACTCACCTCGAACTGGATGAAGAATTTGTATTCAATGAGTTGGACGCGAAGGATATAATGTTGCTCCCAGACAAGGCCCAAATCCCCGTAATTCGCATGGTGAAAATAAGGAAATACAGGTGGCGGAGATCAGGGTGCCTTGTGAGAATTCGTCGGCGAGTGGGTAACCCACCTCTACCATCCGTTCTATTAGCCAAAATGCAATCACTGGAGAATAAACTTGATGAGCTCCGTTCAAGACTATCCTACCAACGGGACATTAAAAACTATAATATCTTATGTTTCACCGAGTCGTGGCTGAACGACGACACGGATAATATACAGTTGGCTGGGTTTTCCATGCATTGGCAGGACAGAACAGCTATGCCCGGTAAGAGATGGGGGTGTGTGTCTATTTGTCAATAACAGCTGGTGCGCGATGTCTAATATTAAGGTAGTCTCGAGGTATTGCTCGCCTGAGGTAGAGTACCTCATGATAAGCTGTAGACCACACTATCTACTAAGAGAGTTTTCATCTGTATTTTTCATAGCCGTCTATTTACCACCATAAACCGACGCTGGCACTACTACCTCACTCAACAAGCTGTATAAGGCCATAAACAAACAAAGAAAATGCTCATCCAGAAGCTGTGCTCCTCATGGCCGGGGACTTTAATGCAGGCAAACTTAAATCAATTTTACCTAATTTCTACCAGCATGTCACATGTGCAACCAGAGGAAAATAAACTCTAGACCACCTTTACTCCACAAACAGAGACGCGTACAAAGCTCTCCCTCGGCCTCCATTTGGCAAAACTGACCATAATTCTATCCTCCTGATTCCTGCTTACAAGCAAAAACTAAAGCAGAAAGTACCAGTGTCTTGCTCAATGCGGAAGTGGTCAGATGACGCGGCTGCTACGCTACAGGACTGTTTTGCTAGCACAGACTAGAATATGTTCTGGGATTCATCCAATGGCATTGAGGAGTATACCACCTCAGTAACCAGCTGCAATAAGCATGTCACATGTGCATCGACAACGTAGTCTCCATAGTGACCGTACGTACAGTGAGGGAAAAAAGTATTTGATTCCCTGCTGATTTTGTAAGTTTGCCCACTGACAAAGAAATGGTCAGTCCATAATTTTAATGGTAGGTTAATTTGAACAGTGAGAGACAGAATAAAAACAAAGAAATCCAAGAAAAACGCATGTCACAAATGTTATAAATTGATTTGCATTTTAATGAGGGAAATAAGTATTTGACCCCCTCTCAATCAGAAAGATTTCTGGCTCCCAGGTGTGTTTTTATACAGGTAACGAGCTGAGATTAGGAGCACACTCTTAAAGGGAGTGCTCCTAATCTCAGCTTGTTACCTGTATAAAAGACACCTGTCCACAGAAGCAATCAAACAATCAGATTCCAAACTCTCCACCATGGCCAAGACCAAAGAGCTCTCCAAGGATGTCAGGGACAAGATTGTAGACCTACGCAAGGCTGGAATGGGCTACAAGACCATCGCCAAGCAGCTTGGTGATAAGGTGACAAAAAACACAAAATAACTGTCAATCTCCCTCGGCCTGGGGCTCGATGCAAGATCTCACCTCGTGGAGTTGCAATGATCATGAGAACGGTGAGGAATCAGCCCAGAACTACACGGGAGGATCTTGTTAATGATCTCAAGGCAGTTGGGACCATAGTCACCAAGAAAACAATTGGTAACACACTACGCCGTGAAGGACTGAAATCCTGCAGCGCCCGCAAGGTCCCCATGCTCAAGAAAGCACATATACAGGCCCGTCTGAAGTTTGCCAATGAACATCTGAATGATTCAGAGGAGAACTGGGTGAAAGTGTTGTGGTCAGATGAGACCAAAATTGAGCTCTTTGGCATCAACTCAACTCGCCGTGTTTGGAGGAGGAGGAATGCTGCCTATGACCCCAAGAACACCATCCCCACCGTCAAACATGGAGGTGGAAACATTATGCTTTGGGGGTGTTTTTCTGCTAAGGGGACAGGACAACTTCACTGCATCAAAGGGACGATGGACGGGGCCATGTACCATCAAATCTTGGGTGAGAACCTCCTTCCCTCAGCCAGGGCATTGAAAATGGGTCGTGAATGGGTATTCCAGCATGACAATGACCCAAAACACATGGCCAAGGCAACAAAGGAGTGGCTCAAGAAGAAGCACATTAAGGTCCTGGAGTGGCCTAGCCAGTCTCCAGACCTTAATCCCATAGAAAATATGTGGAGGGAGCTGAAGGTTCGAGTTGCCAAACATCAGCCTCGAAACCTTAATGACTTGGAGAAGATCTGCAAAGAGGAGTGGGACAAAATCCCTCCTGAGATGTGTGCAAACCTGGTGGCCAACTAAAAGAAACATCTGACCTCTGTGATTGCCAACAAGGGTTTTGCCACTAAGTACTAAGTCATGTTTTGCAGAGGGGTCAAATACTTATTTCCCTCATTAAAATGCAAATCAATTTATAACATTTTTGACATGCGTTTTTCTGGATTTTTTTGTTATTATTCTGTCTCTCACTGTTCAAATAAACCTCCCATTAAAATTATAGACTGATCATGTCTTTGTCAGTGGGAAAACGTACAAAATCAGCAGGGGATCAAATACTTTTTTCCCTCACTGTATCTGCCAGCACTAACAGGAGAATCTGAGCATTGTATGCCCCTCAAGACTGGTGGTAATGGATTAAAGCAGTCAGAGATGGACAGAATCTAAGTGAGGAGCAGGGACTCTCAACTTCCCTGTTGGTACGATGAAAGAAGGACACACTGCACAGAGCGATGCTAACTGAAATTGGGAAGTATATTAAAAATTGGTATTAAGAATAATTGGTATAACATAATAATTTGTCATATAGTCAATGCTTACATGATTTCTTAGATTAGAAATGAAATCGATTAAACTGTTATGTTTTGTCTTCTAGTGAGGTAAATACAGATGGTGTCTTGATGCATAGCGGGGATAATTTGGACTAGAATGGTGTGAACCTTAAAAAGAAACAATCTATGTACCGGCTGAAGATGAATATCAGACGTTTCTGTAAAGCACCACTTCTACATGCAACAGGGGTAAAACAGCCAATTGAAGCTATCAACTGATTTTCTCATGTTGTTATCTCGCGGGAGTGGGACAGGAGTCCACCATTGAGTGAGAATGGAGAAATATATGTTCAAATACAACATTTGTAATGTTGTTGGTATAATGGTTGGCAAATGGACAAGACAATGAGGTTGTAGGGAAGGTGGTGACTTGGATGAGACATTGAAGTTGGGACATTGTCATGGGCAATTCATTTTCAAATATGAAGATGTATGAAGAACATAATGAAGAGACGGCAGAAGATTTAAGTGCCGGGAGAAAGAAGGGATTGGTTAGCTGGGTTGATAATAAAAAATTGGGATTTATCTAAATTTGCTAATTTGAGTAGGAGGTACAGTGGGGAGAACAAGTATTTGATACACTGCCGATTTTGCAGGTTTTCCTACTTACAAAGCATGTAGAGGTCTGTCATTTCTATCATAGGTACACTTCAACTGTGAGAGTCGGAATCTAAAACAAAAATCCAGAAAATCACATTGTATGATTTTTAAGTAATTAATTTGCATTTTATTGCATGACATAAGTATTTGAAACATCAGAAAAGCAGAACTTAATATTTGGTACAGAAACCTTTGTTTGCAATTACAGAGATCATTCGTTTCCTGTAGGTCTTGACCAGGTTTGCACACACTGCAGCAGGGATTTTGGCCCACTCCTCCATACAGACCTTCTCCAGATCCTTCAGGTTTCGGGGCTGTCGCTGGGCAATACGGACTTTCAGCTCCCTCCAAAGATGTTCTATTGGGTTCAGGTCTGGAGACTGGCTAGGCCACTCCAGGACCTTGAGATGCTTCTTACGGAGCCACTCCTTAGTTGCCCTGGCTGTGTGTTTCAGGTCGTTGTCATGCTGGAAGACCCAGCCACGACCCATCTTCAATGCTCTTACTGAGGGAAGGAGGTTGTTGGCCAAGATCTCGCGATACATGGCCCCATCCATCCTCCCCTCAATACGGCGCAGTTGGGGTTGTACTCATCCTTCTTCTTCCTCCAAACACGGCGAGCGGAGTTTAGACCAAAAAGCTATATTTTTGTCTCATCAGACCACATGACCTTCTCCCATTCCTCCTCTGGATCATCCAGATGGTCATTGGCAAACTTCAGACGGGCCTGGACCTGCGCTGGCTTGAGCAGGGGGACCTTGCGTGCGCTGCAGGATTTTAATCCATGACGGCGTAGTGTGTTACTAATGGTTTTCTTTGAGGCTGTGGTCCCAGCTCTCTTCAGGTCATTGACCAGGTCCTGACGTGTAGTTCTGGGCTGATCCCTTACCTTCCTCATGATCATTGATGCTCCACGAGGTGAGATCTTGCATGGAGCCCCAGACCGAGGGTGATTGACCGTCATCTTGAACTTCTTCCATTTTCTAATAATTGCGAAAACAGTTGTTGCCTTCTCACCAAGCTGCTTGCCTATTGTCCTGTAGCCCATCCCAGCCTTGTGGAGATCTACAATTTATCCCTGATGTCCTTACACAGCTCTCTGGTCTTGGCCATTGTGGAGAGGTTGGAGTCTGTTTGATTGAGTGTGTGGACAGGTGTCTTTTATTCAGGTAACGAGTTCAAACAGGTGCAGTTAATACAGGTAATGAGTGGAGAACAGGAGGTCTTCTTAAAGAAAAACTAACAGGTCTATGAGAGCCGGAATTCTTACTGGTTGGTAGGTGATCAAATACTTATGTCATGCAATAAAATGCAAATTATTACTTAAAAATCATACAATGTGATTTTCTGGATTTTTTTTGGGAAAAATTACAGACCTCTACATGCTTTGTAAGTAGGAAAACCTGCAAAATCGGCAGTGTATCAAATACTTGTTCTCTCCACTGTATATACACTGATAAATTAATAGTATTAAGAATGCATTGAGATAATGATCTGTATTTATTATCAGGATGAGGAAGGTCATAATAGAATTATGGATATTTATACTGTATGTTAATACAAGTGTACTTTCTGACAGTTGAAATGGGTGATGAAGTTGAGGGTTTTAATTTTGATTGAGAAGGACCAAGTGAATCAATAAGAATTGTCATTCTAAATTTGGTTTTGGTTATAATATAAGATGACTGAGTGATTTAAGTAAATCATTAGTATATATTAGTATAACTATTTTCAGAATAAAGGATATTGATTGTATAATTTAGAACTGTCTTATATAGATATTATGGGTTAAAACAGTGATAAATTATGGTAATGTCTTAGGATACATTTATATGCTTTTTTTTGAGTAGACATTGTTGAATCGTACTGTTTGAAACATGGAAATTAATGTGATGATTGTGACTGAAATCATGAATATGTTGATTAATTGGGTTACGTAATCACATATTAGTCACTATATACAGTTGCTGATTTAACAGGGACTGAAAACGGAGTGTTATACTGTGTTATACTGTGTATCTCTCATCAGGCATATTAGGGGTTGAACATAGTTGAATATTGTACCTATTAACAGTCATGGGTTTTCAAGCTAAAATGGAACTCATTAAACAATATGCAATTGATAATTGCATAGCATTGGATGCTATTATAGTACATAAGGGGGAATGTATGCGATTATAGGGGGAGAATCATGTTGTACATGCTTGACATCAGGATTAGTAAGGTATTGGGAATTTAAGTAAAGCTATAGGAAATATTAGAGACATACAGGAAGGTATTAAGAGTATTAATTATTCATCTATATCATCTTATTCCATTGTAGAGTTCATTGATAATGTTGATTGAGGAATGTGGAATGTTAAGTTGGAACTGTATAATGTGGAATTTAAGGTTTACAGGATTGAAGACGTGGAAACAAGACTAACTCAGTCGATCAGATAGCGCCCCAAGTGACCAGAGAAAAGCTTGGGGTTCCTCTGAATGAACATTGATGAAGAAGATTGAAATTATTTTTATTGGGATATATTCATTTGAATATATTATAATTTCCATGTAAATTACAAATTGTCATGAATCAATATATTTTCTGGGATGATGTCAGGAGGTTAGGAATTCATTTGTATGCTTTGAATTGTTTGATTTAAGTAATGGAATTCTTCTTGCAACAACAAAAAGAAAGAAAATGGGGGATTGTTATGATGATTTGTAATACAACATTCATTAATGTATGTGCAACTCAAAAGCTGTATGTGGACACAGGACAAGGACACACCATGTGTTAGTGGTGTCACGAGTGAGGAATAGAAGGTCAGTTTGCCAAGATAGATTGGGGGCCACTGGTGCTAATCTTAGGATGGGTGCGTGATGGAATGGCCTGGTTAGGGTGCCACACTACACCAAGGAGGTAGATTATATGGTGGTGGATGAGTGACAATCAATAATGGTTAGCAACTGGATAAGATAAAAGTAGGTTGGAAGAGCAGTATATAAGCTGAGAGATTGTCTATGGAAGTCATTCAGATGGCGGGAGGCTATGTCCGTACCCCCTGTCATTGAATCAAACATTGTAACCATTAAATAATGACTGAATCCAATCTCCATCTGTGTAACATACTCTCGTGCATCCTGAACTTCTCAATATCAGAAACTCATCATAACACCCACACACAACCACACCCCTCCCCGCCAACATGCACCATACAGTGTGTTACCTGGTTGTAGAGGGCACAGACGTGAAGGGCGGTGTTTCCAGAGGCGTTCTGAGCAGTCATGTCGGCTCCGTAGAACAGCAGGTGCTCCAAGTGCTGAACATGACCATGACGACATGCCTGTATGGGGAGACACATGGATGCCAGTTTGGGTTATTGAGGTATTTTGGGTGATTGAGATATCATACACTGTGTGATATTGGAGACAACCCATCTCGCTTCTCTGTTCTCTTCTCTGTTTGTCTCTCCCACACATGCACTATAATCATTGTTCCCTCTCTGTATTGTCTTGTCTCTATCACACACACACACACACACACACACACACACACACACACACACACACACACACACACACACACACACACACACACACACACACACACACACACACACACACACACACACACACACACACACACACACACACACAACCACAATGAATACTAATGCCATGGGGGGAGAGGGAAGGTAACTGATTAGAATATAGTAATGGAGGGCTCTGGAAAGTTGGCCTGTAGGCCCAGTTTTAGTGCCAGCTTACTCTCAAATCAAATCAAATTGTATTTGTCACATGCGCCGAATACAGTGAAATGCTTACTTACAAGCCCTAAACCAACAATGCAGTTTTAAGGAAAATAAGTGTTAAGTAAACAACTAGATAGGTAAATAACAAATAACAAATAATTAAAGAGCAGCAGTAAAATAAATAAATAAAATAATAACAGTAGGGAGGCTACATACAGGGGGTGCCGGTACAGAGTAATGTGCGAGGGCACAGGTTCGTCGAGGTAATTGAGGTAATATGTACATGTGGGTAGAGTTAAAGTGACTACGCATAGATAACAAATAGAGAGTAGCAAATAGTCTGGGTAGCCATGATTAGCTGTTCAGGAGTCTTATGGCTTGGGGGTAGAAGCTGTTAAGCCTGGAGGCTAACCCTGCATTGTGTTGTGTGGTGACTGTGTTTGGACAGATGTGCTCTGAAGATGGTGGTGGAGAAGAACAGGGCCAGCAGGTGGGGGATTACCATGGATGTCCCCAGTTCAAACTGGGTGAGAGTTCCTCTCTCAAAATACACACTCTTTCTCGCACACTCCGTTGGCATCTCTTTCTTTCTTTTACCAGCTGCCTGTCAGTTCAGTCCAGCGTTTCCCAAACTAGGGGTCACCTGATTTAAAATTGGGGTTGCGAGAGAAACTCGGAAAAGCAGTCTCTGTTTTCTTCCTACAAATGTGGCTCTATCTTTTGAACGGTTGAAGCTACAAAATATTATGACCCCATCACTAAAACATAAGACTCTCAGGCACACTATGTGTCTTCTGTTACCCTCTACAATGCATAGAACAGAGTGGACAAGACCGGGCTCTAAATCAGACTGGGGGAAAAAGAACAAAATCATTGATTGTTATTTTCTACACAGAAAATCATGCAAAAGTTATTGCCTGATGATCTTTTGAACTTCCCAATACCTTTCTGATCCATTTCAGTCATTTCAAACCATTCTTCCTTCAGATTGAAATAGCCTACTGTGAAAAGTACTTTCAGACTGATTTGTAATAGACTGTCATAGCCCCAATTAAAAAAGTGGTGATTGTGTTTGGACAGATGTGCTCTGAAGATGGTGGTGGGGAAGAACAGGGCAAGCAGGTGGGGGGATTACCATGGATGTCCCCAGACATGCTGGTGTGGAGAGGAGAGGAGAAGAGTGGTGGGAACATTAGAGCACTGTGGACACAATACTATTGACTGAGTTCTAGTGCTTCAGTCCTTTATGGTTTATATAATGACAGGGTCTGCAGGGTTTTATCAAGCCCTGTAGTGCTACTCCTGTTCCCTCCATATAAAAGTCTACAGTGCTTTTGTGCCCCATCAAATGAGGAAATTAATATTGTACTCGTCCCTCTTTTCTCTTCCGCTACATTTTCTTCCTAATAAAATCAACGGAAGGTTTCCTCAAAATGTCAGTCTGGGTCTACTGTAGTGTCTGTGTCTGGGAAGAGCAGTCTCTCTCTCTGTATGTGTGTGTGTGTGTGTGTGTGTGTGTGTATTCGTGTGTGTGTTTGCGTCTGTATCCGTGTGTGTGTGTGTGTGTGTGTGTGTGTGTGTGTGTGTGTGTAAACTACTGGTCAAAAGTTTTAGAAAACCTACTCATTCAAGGGTTTTTCTTTATTTGTACTATTTTCTAAATTGTAGAATAATAGTGAAGACATCAAAACTATGAAATAACACATATGGAATCATGTAGTAACCAAAAAAGTGTTAAACAAATCCAAATATATAGCTGCAGAATGCTGTGGTAGCCATGCTGGTTAAGTGTGCCTTGAATTCTAAATAAGTCACAGACAGTGTCACCAGCAAAGCACCCCCACACCATAACACCTCCTCCTCCATTCTTTACGGTGAGAAATACACATGGAGAGTTTATCTGTTCACCCACACCGCATCTCACAAAGACAACGCGGTTGGAACCAAAAATCTCACATTTGGACTCCAGACCAAAGGAAACATTTCCACCGGTCTAATGTCCATTGCTCGTGTTTCTTGGCCAAAGCAAGTCTCTTCTTATTATTGGTGTCCTTTAGTAGCGGTTTCTTTGCAGCAATTCAACCATGAAGGCCTGATTCATACAGTCTCCTCTGAACAGTTGATGTTGAGATGTGTCTGTTATCCTCTGCAGCAGAGGTAACTCTGGGTCTTCCATTCCTATGGCGGTCCTCATGAGAGACAGTTTCGTCATAGCGCTTGATGATTTTTGCAACTGCACTTGAAGAAACTTTAAACGTTCTTGAATTGTTCTGTATTGACTGACCTTCATGTCTTAAAGTAATGATGGACTGTCGTTTCTCTTTGCTTATTTGAGCTGTTCTTGCCATAATATGGACTTGGTCTTTTACCAAATAGGGCTATCTTCTGTATACCCCCCTACCTTGTCACAACACAACTGATTGGCTCAAACGTATCAAGAAGGAAAGAAATTCCACAAATTAGCTTTTAAGAAGGCACACCTGTTAATTGAAATGCATTCCAGCTGGTTGAGAGAATGCCAAGAGTGTGCAAAGATTTCATCAAGGCAAAGGGTGGCTATTTGAAGAATCTTAAATATAAAATATATTTTGATTTGTTTAGCACTTTTTTAGTTACTACATGATTCCATATGTGTTATTTCATAGTTTTTATGTCTTTACTATTATTCTACAATGTAGAAATAGTAAAAATTAAGAAAAACCCTTGAATGAGTAGGTCTTCTAAAACTTTTGAACGGTAGTGTATGTGTTAGTGATGCGCGGGTTGACTCATAACCCTCAATCCCCGCGGTTATATCCGTGGGGTGGGCGGGTTTAGGGTCATGAAATATTGTGCGGATGAAGGGCGGGTGGGTGGCGGGCGGGTTCAATAAAGAGAAAACAATGCATTAAAAACCCATAAATGTATCACAGGCTAACTTTAGGTTTTTCTTTCATTATTTGTATCTGCCATTAGTGCGTAAGCCAAAGCTTCAGGACCTAACTCAGGGTTTCCCAATCTAGGGGTCGCGACCCCATGTGGGGTCACCTGATTTGAAAATGGGGTTGGTTCATAGAACCGGGGGCACGTCAGTAACCTCCGGTAGCTGCTAGATACGGTTGTAATAAACAGAGCGGTTTCTGTTTTCTTCCTACAAATCTGGCTCTATGTTTTGAATGGTTTAAGCTACAAAATATTATGGCCCCTCACTGAAAGATAAGACTCTCAGCAACACGTACGGACATACAGTTAGTGGACAAGACCAGGCACTAAATCAGACTGGGCGGAAAATAACAATAAATGATGATGTTCTTTTCTACACAGAAGATCATACAACATTATTTCAAACCCTACTGTATGCAGATTGAATACTGTCAAAAATACTGTCAGACTGATTTGTAATAAACTGTCACAGCCCAAATTTAAAAAGTAAACATTGGCCGTTGATTACATAACTTTTTTTACATGGTGGTGTCGCAGATTTGGGGTCGCAGGGCCAGAACAGTAGCCTAATGTTTGGGAAAGATTTGGTGAAGTGGTAAAAGAGGATGATAGCAGTGCCGGCTATGTTATGTGTGATGATTAAGAGGCGCTATACAAATTAGAGAGTCACAAGACGGGGACTTCAAATATGACACGTTAAGGGCCAACTGTTCAGATTGGTTGAATTGAATAGTAGCCTAACTGAATTCTGGACACTGACTGTAGGTTTGTAACCTCTCACATAGCCCAATATATTAAAACTCCTTCAGAACTAAGCATTTCTTGCAGTAAAATTATACACCAAATGTAGATTTTGACTCGTGAACAGGAGAGGAGAAATATTATTTATTTCTTTCACCATCTTGAGAGAAATGTGCGGTTAGGGACTGTCTGTAAAGGTGCTATCTTTGTCAGCATCATAAAAGCTGATAGATAGTATTTCAACCACAAAAAATATGCATCCAAGCCAAACTAAAAACCTATTAGAAAAATGTTTGGTTATTTTAACAGCACTTAATTTCCTTAAAACCGGTGAAATGGTTCCTGTTTAAAAATAATGATAATAAATGGGCCTACTGCATTTTCTCCCTGGTCCTTAAAACGTCTGCTGCGCAAGAGAAGCTGAGATGAAAGAGAAAACTAGATTGAAGCGTTCATCGATTTAAGACATTCTGGTGAGCAAGGGTTTATTTAGTCTTCTAGGGCAGTAGCCTAATGACATTAGAGAAGCTGCATGTATCTAGTTGTAGGCCAATTCACTAACAAAAAAAAGAAATCCTGCATTCCCTGTCAGACAATCGTTCCACCATCTCTGAATGTACATCACATTTTCTATCGGCCTATTAGCAGGTTAGGGTCGGGTGCAGGCCTCAGATTTTCACTTTATCACATATAGTCTGCAGTTTGCAGATGGGTTATTAGCAATTGCGGGCAGGTGCGGGTGAACAAACAGCTGACCCGCGCATCACTAGAGTGTGTGCGTGCGTATGTGTGTGTTTACCTGGTGTATCTCCTGCCAGCCGTTCTCGTCCACACAGCCCACCTGAGCGTGGTCGTGGAGCAGTAGTTCACAGCAGTAGGGGTCTCCTCCTACCATAGAGCTGTGATAGAGTGGACTTAACCCTCGATTGTCCTTATAGTCAGGAGACGCACCCAGGTCCAGCAACGTCTGGCAGAGGGAGAGTAAGAGAAAGAGAGGGAGAGTTAGAGAACACACACACACAATGCACACACTCCCTTCAAGCCCAACAGAACCTATGAAAACCCAGTTATGAAAACACTATCCATTTCCTTTGTGGGATCTACATTTTTCTTTCATAGGCTTCTGCACTCATGTAGATCAAAAACAGGGACATACAGTAGTCCATTAAGATGATGGACTTCTCTCCACTACAGCTATAGCTCTCAGGATGACAACAATGATGAGTCATATCAGAGCCATTCAGTAATGATACACATCCATTCACTGAGCACACGCCTACTCATTAAAGACAGCAACCTAACCTCCTCAAAGCAGATGAAAACCCAGTGAGTAAGGGAGGGCACAAGAAGCCCATTGAATAAAAACATCTTTTCAGTCAGGTCTCAGAAGAGAGTACTTAGCACCCACATACACACTGAGGAAACCATGTGAGTCAGACTCTTACTTATGACAAGGAGAAAGTGAGTGTGTGTGTGTATGTGTGTGTATGTGTGTGTGTGTATGTGTGTGTGTGTATGTGTGTGTGTGTGGTCTTGTTCTTCTGTCTTTGTGGTGACATGCAATCCCCAAAAGTCCCCACAAGGATAGTAAAACAAGGACAATTCCCACTTCGCCACAAAGGCTATTTTAAGCTTAGGGGTTAGGTTTAGGGTTAGGGTTACAATTAGGCTTAGGGTTACAATTAAGGTTAGGGGTTAAGGGTTAGGTTTAGGCGTTAGGGGTTAGGGTTAAGGTTAGGGTTAGGGAACATAGGATTTTGAATGTAAATCAATTTTAGGTCCCAACGAGGATAGAAAATTAACTGTGTGTGTGTGTGTGCATGTGTGTGTGTGTACGCGTGCGTGTGTGTGTACTCACTATGAGCGCCGTATGGTTCTTGGTGCGGACAGCCTTGTGCAGGGCAGTGATGCCGTCTCGGGTCCTGAAGTCCAGGTGAGCTCCTCCACTCTTCAGCACCTTGATGAGCTCTGCACAGCCCTCCAGCTGAGACGCCATGGTCAGAGGACATTCTACAGCACACAGGGGCAGAGAGGAACCATGTTTAATATACAACAAGACAGCTTTTCAGTGTACATTCTGCATAGTACTGAGACAGAAGCATGCATTCTGCATTAGGGTTGACTTTAATTGTCTGTATAAAAATGAATCAAAGCATTTGTATGAGAAGGCCTAGCCGTTTAAATATCTCTGATTAGAGTGATAAAAGCAGGGGAATAAAAGACTAGTTCCATTTCCAGATGAATCCACTCTCAAGTGATTCATTTAAGAAGACAAATATTGTCCATTTGTGGGCCTCATCAGTGAAATGACTTTGTGATAAACATGATGGAGTTGGTGTTTACCAAAACCAGATAAGAGGGTCGGAGTTAGCTAACAATCTGTGTGTATGTGTGTGTGTGTTTGCTTGTTTGATGATGATGCAACTAAACACTAATGCCTCGATCACACCGACAGCATCGTTGCATTTTGGTACACCAGAAGTACATTCATTTCCAATGGAATGCTGCGTTTGCCTTGCAGTGCGTTCTGTGTGGTGCATACGTTGGATTTATCGAACGTATGCGTCAAACTGTATGTGTAGACGGCTTGACAGAAATGGTAGCAGAAGGTGAATGCTGAACTTTTGTTGCACACATATCCAGATGATGCTGTGTACCATTTTGCGCAATGACGCTGTCGGTGTGATCAAGGCGTTAGAAGCCATCAATCTCATTATTTTAGATTTATCAAAGAAGGTGCATGGGATGAACTGTGGGTATAGTATATTCACAAACATGCGCACACACAGACACAATGAAACTAGCATTTAGAACAAAATTATTTTGTAAATTGTTTTGCTTTTGTTTTCTCTCTCTCTCTCTCTCTCTCTCTCTCTCTCTCTCTCTCTCCTCTCTCTCTCTCTCTCTCTCTCTCTCTCTCTCTCTCAGAGGTCACCCCATTGGAGGCTCTCAACAAATGGCTGCACAAACATTTGCATAAACATGAGAAGATTAGCATGAAGAATAATCCAGCCTCACCCAGCATGCATTTGGATGTGGCAGAGAGGGCCAGACGGAAATCGCTCAGTGGGCAGCCAACCAGAACAAACACAGCAGAGCTCGTTATCTACGTATGTCTGTCTCTCTATCTCTATCTCCATCTCTCTATCTGTCCATCTGTCTGTCTGTCTCTGTCTGAATATTTCCGTAACAGTCAGTCTGTCTGTCTATTTCAGTCTGTCTGTCTATTTCAGTCTGTCTGTCTGTCTGTCTGTCTGTCTGTCTGTCTGTCTGTCTGTCTGTCTGTCTGTCTGTCTGTCTGTCTGTCTGTCTGTCTGTCTGTCTGTCTGTCTGTCTATCTCTGTATCTATCTATCTCAGTATCTAATAACACTGATAATCGGGATCCTCAGGAAGTTCAATCAGTAGAACAGGAACCTCGGTGGGGAGTAAATTCCTGATTGGATGATAGCTGTTTTGATACTGTGTGTCTGAATGTACTAGCAGTTTCACAATAATATCTACTCTCTTAATACTGTGGAACATACACTGAGTGTATGAAACAATAGGAACATCTTCCTAATATTGAGTTGCACCCCCTTTTGCCCTCAGAACAGCCTAAATTCTTCGGGGCATGGACTCTACAAGGAGTCGAAAGCGTTCCACAGGGATGCTGGCCCATGTGGACTCCAATGCTTCCCTCAGTTGTGTCAAGTTGGCTGGATGTCCTTTGGGTGGTGGACCATTCTAAATACACACGGGAAACCGTTGAGCATGGAAAACCCAGCAGTGTTGCAGTTCTTGACACACTCAAACCGATGCGCCTGGCACCTACTACCATACCCCGTTCAAAGGCACTTAAATATTTTGTCTTGCCCATTCACCCTCTGAATGGCACACATACACAATCCATGTCTCAATTGTCTCAAGGCAATCCTGAAAATCCTTATTTAACCTGTCACCTCCCCTTCATCTATACTGATTGAAGTGGATTTAACAAGTGACATCAACAAGGGATCATAACTTTCACCGGGTTTCACCTGGTCAGTCTATATGGAATGTTTTGTACACTCAGTGTATATCAAACAGTACTGTGGCTCAGCTAACCATTGTTTGTTCTCTCGCCAGTAATCAGTATCTGTAATCTGCAAGGAAATTGTTTGCACCCGGCGGCAGGTAGCCTAACAGTTGAAAGTGTTTGGCCAGTAACCGTGGGTTGCTAGTTTGAATCCTCGAGCCGACTAGCTGAAAAATCTGTCAGTGTCCTTGAGCAAGGTACTTAACCCTAAAAATTGTCAAAGACTCCAGCCACCCTAGTCATAGACCATTCTCTCCGCTACCGCACGGCAAGCGGTACCAGAGCGCCAAGTCTAGGTCCAAAAGGCGTCTTAACAGCTTCAAGCCATAAGACTCATGAACAGCTAATGAAATGGCTACCCGGACTATCAAATGGCTACCCGGACTTCTACAACCCCCCCCCCCCCCCCCTTTTACGCTGCTGCCTCTCTCTGTTTATTCTCTATGCATAGTCACTTTAACTCTCCCTACATGTACATATTACCTCAATTACCTCGACTAAACTGTGCCCCCGCACATTGACTCTGTACCGGTACCCCCTGTATATAGCCTCGCTACTGTTATTTTACTGCTCTTTGATTATATGTTTTTTACTTAACACTTATTTTTCTTAAAACTGCATTGTTGGTAAGGGCTTGTAAGCATTTCACTGTAAGGTCTACACCTGTTGTATTCGGCGCATGTGACAAATAACATTTGATTTTATTTGATTTAATTACTCCAGGGTCGCCATCAATAATGGGCTATGCAACAAAAAAATATATATATAATCACACATGCGTATAATACATACTTGTACAAATGTAAGCACCCACCTAATTATTATTAATCAATGAGCATGTTTTTATTCCCGTTTTGTAGCACTGTTTTGTTTGATCTAAATTAACTCTGCAGGTGTCTTTGATTTCATCATTTCAAATCAAATCAAATCAAATTTTATTGGTCACATGCGCCGAATACAACAGGTGCATTTCTGGATGCTAGAGTTGCATCTCTCCTCACCTCCCGATTCAGGGTCATGGAAGTTGGGGTCCAGACCTTTCTCCAGGAACTTGGACACCTTCTCAATGTTCCTCTGCTGAACATACTCCATAAACTTCTTCAGGTTCGCCTGGGAGACAGCCAGAGAGAGAGAGAGTCCATGTCATTCAACTAGTATCAAAAACATATTTGCATACATGCAAATCTAATTCAATTTAATATTGAGGAGGGGGGAGAGGTGTAGAGTTTGAGAGAGGGGCAAGAGTGAGAAAGAGAGAGTGATAAAGAGAGAGGGGGCTGGAGGCAAGAGAGATAGATGGAGGAAGAAAAATAGAGTGGATAGGGAGGGATGCATCGGGAAGAGGGGAGAGAAAAAAGAGAGGCAGTGAGAGAGAGCAAACGAAAGACAGTTAAAGAGATCTAGAGAAAGAGAAAACATAGAGGGAGAGAGAGCTCTGTGATTGGGTGATGTAACACTCATGTGGATAGAGATGTTTAATAATGCAGGTGAGAGATGAAAGCTGAAGCACACTGCCGTGTGTGTTTGTGTTCCATGTCAGTCCAAGTGGAAGATTTAGGTGGATACAGTAGTGCATTAGGCACTGTTGGGTAGACCGCAATATTCCATCTCTACTGTACTTCCAACACAGCAAAAAACTAACTTTCTTTTCGCCCAAAACAAATTACAGTACATAGCACTTCTCTTTAAAGGATCAGACCATTTACCCATGCCATTTGCTGTATCCAACTACAGTGGGGAAAAAAAGTATTTAGTCAGCCACCAATTGTGCAAGTTCTCCTACTTAAAAAGATAAGAGAGGCCTGTAATTTTCATCATAGGTACACGTCAACTATGACAGACAAATTGAGAGAAAAAAAATCCAGAAAATCACATTGTAAGATTTTTAATGAATTTATTTGCAAATTATGGTGGAAAATAAGTATTTGGTCACCTACAAACAAGCAAGATTTCTGGCTCTCACAGACCTGTAACTTCTTCTTTAAGAGGCTCCTCTGTCCTCCACTCGTTACCTGTATTAATGGCACCTGTTTGATCTTGTTATCAGTATAAAAGACACCTGTCCACAACCTCAAACAGTCACACTCCAAACTCCACTATAGCCAAGACCAAAGAGCTGTCAAAGGACACCAGAAACAAAATTGTAGACCTGCACCAGGCTGGGAAGACTGAATCTGCAATAGGTAAGCAGCTTGGTTTGAAGAAATCAACTGTGGGAGCAATTATTAGGAAATGGAAGACATACAAGACCACTGATAATCTCCCTCGATCTGGGGCTCCACGCAAGATCTCACCCCGTGGGGTCAAAATGATCACAAGAACGGTGAGCAAAAATCCCAGAACCACACAGGGGGACCTAGTGAATGACCTGCAGAGAGCTGGGACCAAAGTAACAAAGTCTACCATCAGTAACACACTACGCCGCCAGGGACTCAAATCCTGCAGTGCCAGACGTGTCCCCCTGCTTAAGCCAGTACATGTCCAGGCCCGTCTGAAGTTTCCTAGAGTGCATTTGGATGATCCAGAAGAGGATTGGGAGAATGTCATATGGTCAGATGAAACCAAAATAGAACTTTTTGGTAAAAACTCAACTCGTCGTGTTTGGAGGACAAAGAATGCTGAGTTGCATCCAAAGAACACCATAACTACTGTGAAGCATGGGGGTGGAAACATCATGCTTAGGGGCTGTTTTTCTGCAAAGGGACCAGGACGACTGATCCGTGTAAAGGAAAGAATGAATGGGGCCATGTATCGTGAGATTTTGAGTGAAAACCTCCTTCCATCAGCAAGGGCATTGAAGATGAAACGTGGCTGGGTCTTTCAGCATGACAATGATCCCAAACACACCGCTCGGGAAACGAAGGAGTGGCTTCGTAAGAAGCATTTCAAGGTCCTGGAGTGGCCTAGCCGGTCTCCAGATCTCAACCCCATAGAAAATCTTTGGAGGGAGTTGAAAGTCCGTGTTGCCCAGCAACAGCCCCAAAACGTCACTGCTCTAGAGGAGATCTGCATGGAGGAATGGGCCAAAATACCAGCAACAGTGTGTGAAAACCTTGTGAAGACTTACAGAAAATGTTTGACCTGTGTCATTGCCAACAAAGGGTATATAACACAGTATTTAGAAACTTTTGTTATTGACCAAATACTTATTTTCCACCATAATTTGCAAAAAAATTCATAAAAAATCCTACAATGTGAATTTCTGGAGAAAAAAAATCCTCATTTTGTCTGTTGACGTGTAGTTGACGTGTACCTATGATGAAAATTACAGGCCTCTCTCATCTTTTTAAGTGGGATAACTTGCACAATTGGTGGCTGACTAAATACTTTTTTCCCCCCACTGTAGTTCCTATACTGTGCATTGTAAGTAAATAATTGTTTCTGTCCAACAGTTTTCAACCATTAAGCAGTTGATTCCTAATAGATTGTTTTGTGTGAAGGACACCGTAAAGACAGCACCCAGGTTTGGGGTCAAGTCCATTTCAATTCAATAAATTCAGCACAATATGGAAAACACACAGGTGTGAGGTAGATTGGTTGTATGTACAGCCATTGGTTATTGAGAGCAGAGGAGTTGAGGTGTGGTCTTTACTCCCAATATTCAGTTGTATGTTACAGTTCCACACCAAATAGGGAATTTTGGATATCCTTATCTTTGTAACCTGTGCTTGATATTCAGCTCATTGCAGTAAAGCAATTCAACCATTACAGATTAATATCTCACCCAGATGTTTAGAGAGTGAATAAGGATACGTACACATCTGCATCTGCTGTACAAGGCTGGAAAGCTAATTCATAAAATAACACCATGCTGCCACACGCACACACATACACTCATGTCTGTTGTTGGTAATGTATTTTTTCTTCACTCTTAGATTCAACATATTTTCCATCGCTCCATCCCAGTTGGAATTCCAACTCAGTTCCAAGTGATCCAACTGTAGAATATAGAACTGTAGAATATACATGTAGAACTGCCCAAATAGGGATTTGGACCAGAATCTATCTGGTCCCCACTGATCTAATTCCGTAGTAGTACTGAAACAAAGAAGTTTGCAAGCAAAACACCACAGCCATGTACAGTACAATGTGAGGACAATACATATTGAATACTTTTATCTGAATACAATTCAGTCACTTAGTGATTCAATTTGAATTTCTGGTTAATTCCTGAATTGACTGAATTTAAATGGAATTTACCCCCAACCCTGACCCGAATCCTTATTAGCCTAATTACCAACCTGTAAAATATTCTCAATCAATAATACTGATTTCCAAACCTTGGATTATTTGAGAGATTCCATATACCGACAACAGCTTTGTGTGAAATAATGATTCCACTGTAGTCCAGCTTAATCCAGCTAACATCATTGAGGAATAGGAAATAGGTAATACAATATTGATACAGCATCTGAAATATTCAATACAGTTTTAACACACAGTATCTGAAGTAGTCAAGACTATATTGGTATAGTATCTAACATAGCTTTATGGTGAGATAAAGAGATGGTATTAAACATAGAGGCTAGAGAAGAGAGCTGTGTTCAGATATAACCCATCTGGCTAACAGAGAGATATCATTACTATTCTATTCTCAAGGTTTCTCTGCCTCACTTGTTACATAACCACTGCATGCACTGAAACCTACAGTACACACACACACACACACACACACACACACACACACACACACACACACACACACACACACACACACACACACACACACACACACACACAAAGTAAAAGGTGCAGTGACACAAACAAAGGATTTTTCTTTGCACAACAAACACACACAGACACACCACACACACCTTGCCTGTGGCCAGCATCGCTAATTAGCAGAACATCATGTAGAAGTCGTGTGCCACTCACCATGTGAGGTGTCAAATATATCCGTCCTTCCAAAATCCCTCTCTTTAACTCCTCCACAACTTCACATCTCTCTCGCGCTCCCTCACTCAGAGCCATCTCCTCCGCTCTCGCCCATACCTGGCTCCCCCTCGCTCACTCACACACACACATTGGCACTGAGAAAGACTGCCGACTGCACCTCTCACCATCATCAGCTGTACTGAGGAGAAATTCACTCCGGCTTTTTTCAGATTAAATGAGAAGTGGTTGTTATGGTGATAGGATACAAAGAGTGAGCTCTGACTGCCAGAAACGTATGTGTGTGGGAAGAGCAGTCTGTGCATGCGTGTGTGTGGGAAGAGCAGTCTGTGCGTGCGTGTGGGAAGAGCAGTCTGTGCATGCGTGTGTGTGGGAAGAGCAGTCTGTGCGTGCGTGTGGGAAGAGCAGTCTGTGCGTGTGCACTATGAAATGCATTACTAGAAGGGCCGGAGGGATGTTTAGCTAGCAATGTGTTTTGTATAATGTTAATTTTGCCTGTTGAGTGCAGAGGAGAGGAGACAGCTTTGTTATGGCTAATCTACTCAAGTACACATCCTAATGAACACCATCACACACACGTAGAGTATCATTATACAAAGTGGAACAGTATAGATTTCCCTTCAGGAGAGAGAGAGAGAGAGAGAGAGAGAGAGAGAGAGAGAGAGAGAGAGAGAGAGAGAGAGAGAGAGAGAGAGAGAGAGAGAGAAGAGAGAGAGAGAGAGAGAGAGAGAGAGAGAGAGAGACGGGGGAGAAGAGAGAGAGAGAGAGAGAGAGAGAGAGGAGAGAGAGGAGAGCCGCTCAGTGTGTAAATGACCAGGTGTGATTTCAGCCGCAGCACAGATCCCTTTATTGAAATACAAATGCTGTCACTGATGACTGGGAGCCTTGTTAGGCACAGGGAAAGGACAGGAGAGAGAATCACATACACACACACACGCACACACCATTGTCTGTCTGCTAAGAGAGAGCGTCAATCATGTCCATGTCAGAGACTCTGGCTCCTCCAAGCAGCTCTTAGAGAAGAAGGAGGAAAGAGGGAGAGGAGGGATACAGTGATGAAGAGGTGTGAGATTGATAGAGAATATGTCAGAAAGCAGTAGAGAAAAGGAGAGAGTGAGAGATAATAACAACAGAGAAGTGATGCCGGATTCACACTATAGAGCCGTCCAGAACCGTACCCTGCTGGCTCGGATATTATCTTTTCACACTGTCCTTTCCAGCATGGTTCCAGCAACAGTGGTGGATGTGTAACCAGGCCAGCCCAGTACAGCTCGGATTGGCTAGGTTTGGCCCTATAGTGGGAATCAGGCTTGTAAGTCTCTGCAGAGACGATGTGCAGGTGAGAGGGTGTGTTTGCCGGCATATGTCTGCATCCCAAGTCCCAACTTGATCTCACAAGAAACTGTAACAATTTAATCGCACAGTCTGAGAGAGGCTACCATTCATAAATTCGCAAAACATTACCGATGCTTACAAGTAAGTGTGAGAGGTTGAAGCATGTTAGCAAGGTGGTTAGGGTTTTTTGAGTTTAGGAGTATGGGTAAAGGTTAGAAACCATGATTGAGGGCACAGCACTGCCAAATGTAAAGATCAGACGAGAATTGGCCACAAAACAATCCCTCTAGTGTTACATTTCTGGTGAGATTTCAGGCTGCCTAGTCTCCAGCTCAGTTTAATTCACAACACGGGTTCGGGGGTAAAATCTAATCGGGGGGATCAATATGACACACACACCGGTCATTCTAATGTCATTACCATGGGAACCGATTTCATAGCAACGAGAAGCCCTCTCCATAGTAATGCGGTACGCACACAGAAACAGATGAACCAGCAAAAGAGAACTGACAGATATGGGACAGAACACACACAGGTGTCACACACGCACACATACACACGCACGCCGTGCCACGCACACGCGCAGAGATGCAGATATAGGATCTTAATTTGAGCCAGTATGTTACAGCAGGAAAATAATCCTGCAGCAACAAGAAATTTGAATTATTATCTGGATTATAATGAATGGACATTATTTGTAGGGGTTGATACATTTTTCGTAAGGGCAAATCAATTCTGACATTTTAAAGTGGAAATTAGAAACTTTAGAACCCTTTTTAAACCTTGGATACACTACAAGTTTGCATGTCCTGCTGTGCAGGAAAATTCTCTGCAACAAAAGAGTGATCAAATTAAGATCCTACATATGTACTTACATGTCACACACACACACACACAACCACTGTTTACCTAACAGTAGGAGACAAATCAGATTGGCTTTCAGTCAGGGAGATGTTCTCCCAATCAGCACTGATTACAGAGCCAGGAAAGAACTTTGACATCTCTTAAACAGCCTGTACCTTTCTCTCACTGTATCCAATAGTAAAGGTTAATATCTGCCAACACAGCAGGCCCAACACCCAGCAGTGTGATTCTAAATTCACTGTCAGAGCATAAGAGCACATTCTGATATCAGAGAACATTATGTGGGGCTATATAACTTCAGAATCTGATTTAACTTAACTCACAGCACAGTCTTCCCAATGACTCCCAGGAATCTGGAAAAATGATTGCTAACCGTGACTGAATATCCCATCCCATTCTCCACTCCTCCAATAACAGACTCTTTCTCTATGTGGTGCTAAGTGTTCATCGCTAAACTCTGATGACAAAAAAGAGAGGGCAGAACCCTGCGGATACTAAAATGAGAGAAGAGAGAGATGGAGAGAGAGAGCAAAATGGGTAGAGAGAAAGAAGAGTGAGAGAGACAGACACCTCTCCTTACATGCCACAGTGTCAGCGATAAAAAGTACAATCTAGTCCTGCCATCCACAGCAATTTAGCAAGCTGTTTACTACAGCAGATAGCACTCCTGATCCACTTCCCTGTCTCTGTGAGGTGCCTGCTCTGTTCTCAATATGATTACTGCTGTCTCTACACAGCACAGGAGGCTGCTGAGGGGAGGACGGCTCATAAAAATTGCTGGAATGAAGTAAATGGAATGGTATAAAAAACATGGATACCATGTGTTTGATGCATACGATACCATTCCATTGATTCCATTCCAGCCATTACTATGAGCCCGTCCTCCCCAATTAAGGTGCCAGCGGCTGCCTCTGCTACACAGCCATTTGATTTATACTTTGTACTGCTGTTACTGGGCCATTGAGATAAGAGGAACTCAACAGGGGGGGGGGGTCTAAACAAGCAAGTACAGATGTAGGATCTTACTTTGACCTATATTGTCACAGCAAAAAAATCCTTCAACAACAGGATTTGAAAGTTTAGTCCATAATGTTGCTTGATCAGTAGTTAGGTTATCTGGCCAAAAGTAGGCTACATAAAAAGTGTAATACTGTTCATATAACCAAGCACAAAGCTCATCTGTATTTCCTGCGAAGTAGGAACATTCTCAGCAACAGAAGAGTGATCAAATTAAGATCCTACATCTGTTCACAGTACATGCTACATATTCTGCTAGAGCGCAAGTAACCAAGTATACACTTCAGAGTTCACTTGGGAGCAAGTAACCAAGTACATTTGCCAGGAGAGTAAATAAGGTCAATGACCTGAAGGAGTTAGATAAATAATTCCATGGTTTAATCCTGAAACTCTTTCTACCTCCATGGTTTAATCCTGAAACTCTTTCTACCTCCATGGTTTAATCCTGAAACTCTTTCTACTTCCATGGTTTAATCCTGAAACTCTTTCTACCTCCATGGTTTAATCCTGAAACTCTTTCTACCTCCATGGTTTCTCCTCTTAGACTTCATCTGCTACCTTCAGATAAAGGCTACAGTGTAAGGACCCAGCCAGAAAGAATCTCTCCCTCTCTCTCTCTCTCTCTCTCCCTCTCCCTCTCCCTCTCCCTCTCCCTCTCCCTCCCTCCCTGAGTTGTTTTCTCTTCCTTCAGGCATTCCTCACTAAATGTAGCTAATCCCACATTTGCATTTTGTTCAATAGTGTACTTAGTCCTCATAATATAGCACAGTAGGTGAACCCAGTAGGTGTATCTGGCACTCCATTACCTACATTTCCTCCCATCATCACTTCATGCCTCTGTAGCTCCTGGTCACAGACAGCTGGGTTATAGTATGTACCGTCACGGATCAGCAGTCATCATAAAGCCTACTGACATGATGTTTATTCACCACGCCCCAATGTATAGTAGTGGGTTAATGTCAACTGGACCTTGAAATACACACATGCTTTCATACATCACAACTACTTATCATTACATACCAGTGGAAGCAGCTGAGGGGAGGACGGCTGGAATGGCTGGAACGGCTGGAACGGAGCGAATGGAATGGCATCAAACACATGGAAACCATGTGTTTGATGTATTTGATACCATTCCACCCATTCTGCTCCAGCCATTACCACTAGCCCGTCCTCCCCAATTAAGGTGCCACCAACCTCATGTGTTACATACAGTACTGTATGTAAACACTGTGTGTGGAATATGTACATATTGTACACATCCAGAAACATCACAACTACTCAACCCTCATAAAGATTTGATGTATTGATGTATTCACACATGCTCTGGACCATCACTACAACTACTTAACCATCTCATGTAAACACTAGGCACACTTAATCCAGCTTGCACGGGAACTTGCTAGGTGAGCCAATCCAAGTGCTCTACACACAAGCTCTGGAACATCTTAACTAGTTAGGCTAACCATCACATGTTAATACTTACTGCCTGTGAAATACACCCAGAAACCTCACAAGTTAAGCATCATGTGTGAATACTGTGTACTTTGTTAATTCGAAGAGTCAGGGATCAGAAGGATCACCTGGATGCTCTGTGAAGCATCTCAACACATTGTGATATCAGTCATGGGTAAATGGAACAGACAGACAGGCTAAGGAAGCATATAACATGGCTCCCTATGGCACATCCTGTACTGCACACCATTGGACCAGAGCCATATGTTTAGCTTACAGTCAGAAAGTATACACAGCAAGTTATGGGGAATAGATAGTCATTTGAGATTTGGTCTTTGTCTCAAATTATTCATTTTCCACCATTTTGCACTACTTTTGGTTCAGAGGCATATGGCTCTGTCACGAATGGTGCACTAATTCCCTATTCCTCATGTTATGTAGGCACTGTAGATCTACAGTACCAGTCAAAAGTTTGGACACACCTACTCATTCCAGGGTTTTTCTTCATTTTTACAATTTTCTACATAGTAGAATAATAGTGAAGACATCAAAACTATGAAATAACACATATCAAATCGTGTAGTAACCAAAAAAGTGTTTTATATTTTATATTTGAGATTCTTCAAAGTAGCCACCCTTTGCCTTGATGACAGCTTTGCACACTCTTGGCCTTCTCTCAACCAGCTTCACCTGGAATGCTTTTCCAAACAGTCTTGAAGGAGTTCCCACATATGCTGAACACTTGTTGGCTGCTTGTCCTTCACTCTGCGGTCCAACTCATCCCAAACCATCTCAATTGGGTTGAGGTCGGGGGATTGTGGAGGCCAGGTCATCTGATGCAGCACTCCATCACTCTCCTTCTTGGTCAAAATAGCACTTACACAGCCTGGAGGTGTGTTGGGTCATTGTCCTGTTGAAAAACAAATGATAGTCCCACTAAGCGTAAACCAGATGGGATGGCGTATCGCTGCAGAATGCTGTGGTAGCCATGCTGGTTAAGTGTGCCTTGAATTCTAAATAAATCACTGACAGTGTCACCAGCAAAGCAGCCCCACACCATCACACCTCCTCCTCCATGCTTCACAGTGGGAACCACATATGCAGAGATCATCCATTCACCTACTCTGTGTCTCACAAAGACAACGCGGTTGGAACCAAAAATCTCACATTTGGACTCATCAGACCAAAGGACAGATTTCCACCGGTCTAATGTCCATTGCTTTTGTTTCTTGGCCCAAGCAAGTCTCTTCTTCTTATTGGTGTCTTTTAGTAGTGGTTTCTTTGCACCAATTCGACCATGAAGGCCTGATTCACGCAGTCTCCTCTGAACAGTTGATGTTGATTTGTGTCTGTTACTTGAACTCTGTGAAGCATTTATTTGGGCTGCAATTTCTGAGGCTAGTAACTCTAATGAACTTATCCTCTGCAGCAGAGGTAACTCTGGGTCTTCCTTTCCTGTGGTGGTCCTCATGAGAGCCAGTTTCATCATAGTGCTTGATGGTTTTTGCGACTGCACTTGAAGAAACTTTAAAAGTTCTTGAAATTTTCCGGATTGACTGACCTTCATGTCTTAAAGTAATGATGGACTGTCGTTTCTCTTTGCTTATTTGAGCTGTTCTTGCCATAATATGGACGGTCTTTTACCAAATAGGGCTATCTTCTGTATACCACCCCTACCTTGTCACAACACAATTGATTGGCTCAAACGCATTAAGGAAAGAAATTCCACAAATTAACTTTTAACAAGGCACACCTGTTAATTGAAATGCATTCCAGGTGACTACCTCATGATGCTGGTTGAGAGAATGCCAAGAGTGTGCAAAGCTGTCATCAAGGCAAAGGGTGGCTATTTGAAGAATCTCAAATATAAAATATATTTTGATTTGTTTAACACTTTTTGGGTTACTCCATGATTCCATATGTGTTATTTCATAGTTTTGATGTCTTCACTATTATTCTACAATGTAGAACATAGTAAAAATAAAGGAAAACCCTTGAATGAGTAGGTGTGTCCAAACTTTTGACTGGTACTGTATATCGAACATACTGTATGTTTGGAGTCAGTAGCTGTCTGAAAGCCCGATGCCATTTGGCTTTAAGACAGCTAAATGGCTGTACACTGAAGTTGTGCACTAGGACTAGGCTATGCAGTATAAGGAAGTATAATAATTAGATATTTGGACCAACACTAATGCTTTCCGAATCGCTGCTCTTTAATATGATACTTCCTATGCTTGTATAGTTAGCATCAGCTGCAGGGGTGCTCAACTCCCCACCACTAACGTAAAGTGATGTCTGTGATACATGGAGAGCGGACATGTCCAGCTGTCTGTTCTCCATACGTGAAACTGATGATGATTTCATTTTATAATTCGATCACCATTGTGTAGATCATATTACCATGTTATGTTAACCAACAAATAGCACAGTGTTCGCCAACCGGTCGATCTTCAAGGCATTCCAAGTCGATCACCAAACATTTCTGTAGAAAAGCCAAAGATAAAGGCGTAAAGGCTTGCGCTCCTTTTTTTTCGTGTTGCGCTGTTAACGGTAGGTGCACTTGATTCAGAAGCCCTGCGCACCGGGTAGGCAAATTGTTCCCATTTTGAACCATTTCATTTGTCTGAAAATACAAACTCCGCCTACCTGGTGGACCAGGAGATCTGTGAATAAATCGAGTGTGCCTACTGCGCTGGCCAATCGGATTGCTCAAACCACGGTGCCTACCTACAGCTTCCACGACCCCCGCCACAGCAACGTTTGACACTAGCCTACGTGAGATTTAATAACTTTTAAAATCATGACCAAGAGAGACTGTCAAAGTGTACAGCAACGAGCTGCTGTTTTATTCAAAACTGCCAACACTGTTTTTATTCAATATATTACTTACTTCCACTCGCGCTGCAGCTGCAATGAATGAGTAGTCAAGTGTATCAATAGCCCTGTGTTTTTATTATTATTATCAGCTCTTTGGTCATAGGAACAACGTTAATTTGTGCCTGAGGCAGATGCATTGCGACTCTTCCCCTCTCTCTGGTCAGTCTCACCGGAGGAAAGGAAGGAGAGAGTAGGGACGGTGAGAGGTAGACCCTCTGCTGCTTTCAACTTCCCTCCGCTGAGACTAATGCCATGCTCAAAACAACTCGGAAATCTCCGACTTCCGACTTCAGTGTGTTCAAGACAATTGGGAACTCTGAAAAAAACGAAACCAACTGGGAAAAATCTTTTTGAATGGTCATCCAACTCGGAAACTTTGGCATCTTTCTAGAGCTCCGACTTTCCGACCTGAAGTTCACTGACGTCATGATTTAACCTTGTTTGTCCGAGTTCCCAGTTGTCTTGAAAGCACCATGACCGTCAGATGCAAGTACTGTCAGTCCAGTAAGATAAACAAGCAAATTATTTCAATTTATGTTCAGCTGTGCTTCGCAAGTGTTACACCAACTGATCTATTTAATTATCAAAGTTTGAGTTTTGAAATATAATATGGTCTGAGAAGGACAATATTGACAGGCCAGGCATATAGCCAATGATAATGTATTAGGGCTACTGCACAAACCTCATTCCTACAGAATTGTTTTGAATCAATATTAATTCATGCTTAACCCCTTAAGGATCGGACCCTGTTTTTCAATTTTCGCCTAAAATGACATACCCAAATCTAACTGCCTGAAGCTCAGGACATGAAGCAAGGATATGCATATTCCTGATACCATTTGAAAGGAAACACTTTGAAGTTTGTGGAAATGTGAAATTAATGTAGGAGAATATAACACATTAGATCTGTTAAAAGATAATACAAAAAAAACACGTGTTTTCTATTTTAAAAAATGTGTTCCATCAGCTTTGAAATGCAAGAGAAAGAAAGTGTGTTCAAGACAATGTAATATTGCAGTTTAGGCGCAATTTAGATTTTGGCCAATAGATGGCAGCAGTGTGTGTGCAAAGTTTCAGATTGATCCAGTGAAGCATTGCAATGTGCCGAATTGGTCAATTGATACATTTTCAAGTACATAACTGTAGAGAACATACAACAATGATATGGTAATGCAAAATGTAAGTTTACACACTCCCATGAATGTCATATATGATGGTCCTAAACGATATAATAACCGGGATCGATAAAAGACAATACTGTGCAGCCGTCTTCATTGACCTGGCCAAGGCTTTTGAATCTGTCAATCACCGCATTCTTATTGGCAGACTAAATAGCCTTGGTTTCTCAAATGACTGCCTCGCCTGGTTCACCAACTAATTCTCAGATAGAGTTCAATGTGTCAAATCGGAGGGCCTGTTGTCTGGACCTCTGGCAGTCTCTATGGGGGTGCCACAGGGTTCAATTCTCGGGCCGACTCTATTCTCTGTGTATATCAATGATGTCACTCTTGCTGCTGGTGACTCTCAGATCCACCTCTACGCAGATGACACCATTTTGTATACAACTGGCCTTTCATTGGACACTGTGTTAACAAACCTCCAAACAAGCTTCAATGCCATACAACACTCCTTCCGTGGCCTCCAACTGCTCTTAAACGCTAGTAAAACTAAATGCATGCTCTTCAATCGAACGCTGCTTGCACCCGCCTGCCTGACTAGAATCACTACTCTCGGCGGGTCTGATCCAAAGTTAAATCTAGAATCGGCTTCCAATTACGCAACAAAGCCTCCTTTACTCATGCTGCTAAACATGCCCTTGTAAAACTGACTATCCTACCGATCCTTGACTTCGGCGATGTCATTTACAAAATAGCTTCTAACACTCTACTCAGCAAATTGGATGTAGTCTATCACAGTGCCATCCGTTTTGTCACAAAAGCCCCATATACAGTGGGGAAAAAAAGTATTTAGTCAGCCACCAATTGTGCAAGTTCTCCCACTTAAAAATATGAGAGAGGCCTGTAATTTTCATCATAGGTACACGTCAACTATGACAGACAAAATGAGAAAAAATATTCCAGAAAATCACATTGTAGGATTTTTAATGAATTTATTTGCAAATTATGGTGGAAAATAAGTATTTGGTCAATATCAAAAGTTTCTCAATACTTTGTTATATACCTTTGTTGGCAATGACACAGGTCAAACGTTTTCTGTAAGTCTTCACAAGGTTTTCACACACTGTTGCTGGTATTTTGGCCCATTCCTCCATGCAGATCTCCTCTAGAGCAGTGATGTTTTGGGGCTGTCGCTGGGCAACACGGACTTTCAACTCCCTCCAAAGATTTTCTATGGGGTTGAGATCTGGAGACTGGCTAGGCCACTCCAGGACCTTGAAATGCTTCTTACGAAGCCACTCCTTCGTTGCCCGGGCGGTGTGTTTGGGATCATTGTCATGCTGAAAGACCCAGCCACGTTTCATCTTCAATGCCCTTGCTGATGGAAGGAGGTTTTCACTCAAAATCTCACGATACATGGCCCCATTCATTTTTCCTTTACACGGATCAGTCGTCCTGGTCCCTTTGCAGAAAAACAGCCCCAAAGTATGATGTTTTCACTCCCATGCTTCACAGTAGGTATGGTGTTCTTTGGATGCAACTCAGCATTCTTTGTACTCCAAACACGACAAGTTGAGTTTTTACCAAAAAGTTATATTTTGGTTTCATCTGACCATATGACTTTCTCCCAATCCTCTTCTGGATGCACTCTAGCAAACTTCAGACGGGCCTGGACATGTACTGGCTTAAGCAGGGGGACACGTCTAGCACTGCAGGATTTGAGTCCCTGGCGGCGTAGTGTGTTACTGATGGTAGGCTTTGTTACTTTGGTCCCAGCTCTCTGCAGGTCATTCACTAGGTCCCCCCGTGTGGTTCTGGGATTTTTGCTCACCGTTCTTGTCATCATTTTGACCCCACGGGGTGAGATCTTGCGTGGAGCCCCAGATCGAGGGAGATTATCAGTGGTCTTGTATGTCTTCCATTTCCTAATAATTGCTCCCACAGTTGATTTCTTCAAACCAAGCTGCTTACCTATTGCAGATTCAGTCTTCCCAGCCTGGTGCAGGTCTACAATTTTGTTTCTGGTGTCCTTTGACAGCTCTTTGGTCTTGGCCATAGTGGAGTTTGGAGTGTGACTGTTTGAGGTGGTGGACAGGTGTCTTTTATACTGATAACAAATTCAAACAGGTGCCATTAATACAGGTAACGAGTGGAGGACAGAGGAGCCTCTTAAAGAAGAAGTTACTGGTCTGTGAGAGCCAGAAATCTTGCTTGTTTGTAGGTGACCAAATACTTATTTTCCACCATAATTTGCAAATAAATTCATTAAAAATCCTACAATGTGATTTTCTGGATTTTCTTTTCTCAATTTGTCTGTCATAGTTGACGTGTACCTATGATGAAAATTACAGGCCTCTCTCATCTTTTTAAGTGGGAGAACTTGCACAATTGGTGGCTGACTAAATACTTTTTTCCCCCACTGTACTACCCACCATTGTGACCTGTACGCTCTCGTTGGCTGGCCCTCACTACATATTCGTCGCCAAATCCACTGGCTCCAGGTCATCTATAAATCACTTCTAGGCAAATCTCCGCCTTATCTTAGATCATTGGTCACCATAGCAACACCCACCCGTAGTATGCATTCCAGCAGGTATATCTCACTGGTCATCCCCAAAGCCAACACCTCCTTTGGCCGCCATTCCTTCCAGTTCTCTGCTGCCAATGACTGAAACAAACTGCAAAAATCTCTGAAGCTGGAGACACTTATCTCCCTCACTAACTTTAAGCATCAGTTGTCAGAGCAGCTTACCGATCACTGCACCTGTACACAGCTGTAATTAGCCCACCCAACTACCTCATCCCCATATTGTTATTTACATTGTTATTTATTTTGCTCATTTGCACCCCAGTATCTCTATTTGCACACCCTCTTCTGCACATCTATCACTCCAGTGTTAATACTGAATTGTAATTATTTTGCACTATGGCCTATTTATTGCCTTACCTCCATAACTTACTACATTTGCACACACTGTATATAGATTTTCTATTGTGTTATTGACTGTACGTTTTGTTTATTCCATATGTAACTCTGTGTTGTTGTTGTTTTTATCGCACTGCTTTGCTTTATCTTGGCCAGGTCGCAGTTGTAAATGAGAACTTGTTGTCAACTGGCTTACCTGGTTAAATAAAGGTTAAATCATTTATTTTTATATTTTTTATATGGATCATTAGCTTATATACTACCTTTCACACATCTAGATGGCCAGGCGGGGTGGGTGTGGTGCTAGAGACAGCAGGGGTTCAAACTGTAGAACCCAGTTCCTACATTTGAATATAAAAATGGATTTGATCATTTACATTTACATCATTTAGCAGACGCTCTTATCCAGAGCGACTTACAAATTAGTGCATTCAACTTATGATAGCCAGTGGGACAACCACTTATTTTTTATTTATTTATTTTTCTTTTTTTATGGGGGGTGGGGGAAGAAGGATTACTTTATACTATTCCATGTATTCCTTAAACAAAACTATGCTACATTTTATCTATGGGACCCTTAGGATGACAAATCAGAGCAAGATTACTGAATGTAAGTACATTATTTACCTTCAGAGGTGAATGTATCAAACCAGTCGCCATGATACGTTTTTTTGTTGTTGTGCATTCTCCTCAAACAATAGCATGGTATTTTTTCACTGTAATAGGTACTGTAAATTGGACAGTGCAGTTAGATTAACAATAATTTAAGCTTTCTGCCCATATAAGACATGTCTATGTCCTGGAAAGTTTGCTGTTACTTATAACAGTCATGCTAATCACATTAACGCACGTTAACTCAACCGTCCCATATACGGGACACCAATCCCATAGAGGTCAATGTTACGTTTAAAAAAAAATCTGTGGTAGATCTCGGCTTACTTTTTGACTGCGGATGTGATCTTGACTCAGAAAAGGTTGGTGACCACTTAAATAGCACATAGTGTGGCTTCAAAATGGTGCCTCGATTTTACCCACTTCCAAGCATCAAAATAAACATTTGTTTTCTTAATAGCCTGAAATCTGTGCAACCCAATGTAAACAGCATTAGCCTGCAGAGTTTGTTCCAGATCCCCTCCTGTACTTTTGTTGGCTGTCTTATATAAGGGTTAAGATGAAGCAGGCAGGCCTTGACCCGTATGTCCCAGATGCTTTATACAGAAACCATCCTGCTGCAGGGGCAATGCATTTTAATTAGAGAGAGAAAGAGAGAGACAGAGCGAGATGGAGATGAAAAGAGAGAAAGAGGGAGGGGGAGAGATGGAGACGCGCATACATTATACTATCATATCCACAGCCAGTGAACAGCTAGAGGAGTAATGGAGTAAGAGAAATATGTCACAGCTTGAGCACAGTCAGCCTCCCACAGCACAGCTACCACTCCATCTCTAATGGGAATCCACAGTCTCTAAAGCAGCAATTCTCAACTGGTGGGTCATGACCCGGGAGATTTTTAATGAGTCACAGTGTTTTTGTTGATTTGTTTTCAATTGAAAAAATACTCCCGCCTGAACATAAATGACTAAAACCAGGTAGATAGCGGTAGAAAGTGACTCAATAATTTTATTTCTGAACTATTTTTCTTCAATCACAGTATTTTCAATATAGAGCTATTAGCAGCGCTATTTAGTGGATATGGGTAAACTTGAATTGTTTCCTTTGTCATAATTGCTACAATTACAATCAATATAGTATTAAAAATAGTTTTTCAGATTGCATTTTGGTAAATTTTTGTTGTGATGCAAATATTGTGTCGCGACTGAGACAACCTGGTTTAATTTGGGTCCCGAGGCAAAACCAGTTGAGAACCACTGATCACAGCTAACCCAACGCATAGAATGTTCTGAAATTAAGCTAATATGCCTAACATGCATTCATATAACTGTATATTTTGTGTTTTTCTCCCTGATATATGATATCCTTAGCTAATAAACTTTAATTTTTCACACCACACACTCATTATCTGGCGCTCACTATTTTGGGAGCTACAGTAGAGTATAGTATGGGAATGTGTGTCTGATGCTGCTGCCAAAACCCAAACTCCAAACATGTCCTACAGACATTAAAGGAGTATTGTCATTAACTTGTCCAAGCTGGTTTCCAACACACGTCCTCAAACCATCTGGACCTCTCCTCATATCTCACAGAATGAGACGGAAGGGGGGTGTTGTGTGTAAGGGGGAGTTTGAGAGAGGGTATATGGAGGAAGTGGAGAGTTTTGGTAGGAGTGGGGGGAGTTGAATAACTAGAGGTAGATGGGTGAGGTGTTGAGGTGATCTTTGTTGGTGAGAGAGTGGGGACAGGGTGTTGAATAAGGGCTCTGTGCTAGAAGTGGTAGAGGAGTGGAATGGTTTCATAGTACAGCTGAGACTCATTCACCAGCTCTATTTTTATCCACAAACACATTTGATTCTTACTCTTGCCAGCATCTTTGTTGAGTACCATACCAGAGGGCTTATTCAACATGTATGGACATACTGTACATGTATATATAGAGGCCACATGTTTCATCCCTTACTTAAAATAACATGAGAGAGCATCCTGTCTTTTCTATTTAGTGTGTTTCAATGTGATGCTGTAGTCTCTGGCACTCAGACTAGGCATACTCCAAGCATCAATTAGAGATAATGACAAGCAAGCAAAACCTAGCATACTCCTCTTTGAGCAAATGAAAGGAATGAGGCCATCCTAACGAGATACAGAATTAACAACCATTTGGATGAAGATAATTAACATGATAAACATGAAATGAACATCAAATTAAAAACTCAACCAAAATAACAGCTTTCTGAAGAAACTTTCTGGGACGTGAGGGCTGAGGTTAAGAAGAGTATCTAATTCATGACTGAGGTGTGCATGCGTGTGCGTGTGCATGCATGTGTGTGTGTTGTAGTAGAAAGGTTCACCCAGCTTTGCCCTGATCCCCTCAGGGAACATTTCCATTGTATTTCACAGAGTGACCCAGGCCCTGAGGAGACAGCATTTAGAGCAGCTCAACCACAGCTAGATACACTATACAGTATGTAGCATGCATAGTATTTTATTTCTGGCGTCCTTGATTTAGCTTGGAGTTTGCACTTTTGGGATGATTCTATTCATTGGTTCCATTTTACCAGGCAACTGAAATCAAGTGCAGCTCAAGTTTTTGAAAGTGTTCAAATGTGTGCATTTGGGTGCCGGAGTCTGGTTGAGCGGTCTTCACTCTCGACTCTGGACCACACATACCCCCTGGTGACAGGTGATCCAGCCCTGTCTGGGCCACCTCTCATCTTTGCCCCTACGATCTGTCTCTACTTTCCGCTGTACTGTCTAAAACCAATACAAATGCCAAAAAGGGTTGGAACCTCAATCTCCTTTAAAAACAAAAGTGTATTTGGCTCCACGTCTGCAGCTACAATCATAGACCAAAAGAAATGAGCGCATAGAGGAAGACGTGTCTGAAATAGGACAGAGAGGGATCTCCAAACTGGACATGCTGTACAGCTGGTCATGGTGTACTTGGCTCTCAGCTTCCACATCCCAAAAAAGTTCAATTTTCAGAATGGGCTGTTTTAGTTTTTGACCGGACTTCCTTCAGGAGAAAAGGAGAGGTATTGTGTGTAAGGTATGCATGACATGATGATAATCTTTTTCCTGTTTGGCAGTTTGTCATGTTTAACTAGCTAGCTACCGAAAATAGCCACTGTGGTGCGAATGCTAATCAATTAGCAAGCTAATCAGACACCATGTTGCGTTATAGGGACACATGCTAAATTAGCTACACTGAACAAAAATATAAACGCAACATGTAAAGTGTTCGTCCCATGTTTCATGAGCTGAAATAAAAGGTCCCAGAAATGTTCCATACGCACAAAAAGCTTATTTCTCTCAAATGTTGTGCACAAATTTGTTTATATCCCTTTGCCAAGATAATCCATCCACCTGACAGGTTTGGCATATGAAGAAGCTGATTAAACAGCATGATCATTACACTGGTGCAGCTTGTGCTGGCGACAATAAAAGGCCACTCTAAAATGTGAAGTTTTGTCACACAACTCAATGCCACAGATGTCTCAAGTTTTGAGGGAGCGTGCAATTGGCATGGTGACTGCAGGAATTGAATGTTAATTTCTCTACCATAAACCGCCTTCAATGTCGTTTTAGAGAATTTAGCAGTATGTCCAACCGGCCTCACAACTGCAGACAACGTGTATAGCGTCGTGTGGGTGAGCGGTTTGCTGATGTCAACGTTGTGAACAGAGTGCCCCATTGTGGCGGTGGGGTTATAGTATTGTCAGGCATAAGCTACGGACAACGAACACAATTGCGTTTTATCGATGGCTATTTGAATGCACAGGTATCTGTGACCAACAGATGCATATCTGTGAAATCCATAAATTAGGGCCTAATTTCTTTATTTCAATTGACTGATTTCCTTATATGAACTGTAACTCAGTAAAATACTTGAATTTGTTGCATGTTGCGTTTATATTTTTTGTTCAGTATAAATAGCTAGCTAGCTAGCTAGCTATTGGGTTATAGATTGAGGTCGTTTTTTGAATACCATTTACATCTAGCCAGCGGGTAATTATGAAGCTAAATGTTTGCTAAATCTAACTAGTTATCTTGTGTCTGCATTGCCATGGTTGGGCTGGAAGCAGGTTAAGTGTGTACAGGGTATTTTATTACAGCTGTAGCAGATTTTTTATTTATTTTAATTTTTTCACCTTTATTTAACCAGGTAAGCCAGTTGACAACAAGTTCTCATTTACAACTGCGACCTGGCCAAGATAAAGCAAAGTAGTGTGATAAAAACAACAACAACACAGAGTTACATATGGGATAAACACAATGTACAGTCAATAACACAATAGAAAATCTATATACAGTGTGTGCAAACGTAATAAGTTATGGAGGTAAGGCAATAAATAGGCCATAGAGCAAAATAATTACAATTTAGTATTAACACTGGAATGATAGATGTGCAGAAGATGATGTGAAAATAGAGATACTGGGGTGCAAATGAGCAAAATAAATAACAATATGGGGATGAGGTAGTTGGGTGGGCTAATTACAGATGGGCTGTGAACAGGTGCAGTGATCGGTAAGCTGCTCTGACAACTGATGCTTAAAGTTAGTGAGGGAGATAAGAGTCTCCAGCTTCAGAGATTTTTGCAGTTCGTTCCAGTCATTGGCAGCAGAGAACTAGAAGGAATGGCGGCCAAAGGAAGTGTTGGCTTTGGGGATGACCAGTGAGATATACCTGCTGGAGCGCAGACTACGGGTGGGTGTTGCTATGGTGACCAGTGAGCTAAGATAAGGCAGGGATTTGCCTAGCAGTGATTTATAGATGTCCTGGAGACAGTGGGTTTGGTGACGAATATGTAGTGAGGGCAATAACAAGCTATAAGACAAAAATTAATTCATTTTTTAACAAATTTTTCTGGATTTTGTCTGTCAGCATAAACCTGCTCTCCGCCACCAGTAAAAGGAGATGATAGACAGTGAACAAGCAACACTTCAGGTACTTTGTACTTTGAGCTTATTGCTTGGACTTCGGGGTCAATTATTGTTATTGTCTGTTTTTGTCTGCTTTCCTCCTTTACAGCTTTAATTGTCTGGAGCCTGGTGTTGTTGTGCCAAGGAGCTTTCACTCAGATGAAACCAGGTTTCAGCTGCTGTGCAATGTTGACATCCTTCCTCCCAGAGATGTGAAAGCATCCCCCTGACTGGACACAACCTGGCAAACATATATTTTTGAGAAGATCAGGACTTTTGCAATGAAAAGGCCATGGACATTACATGTCCTGCTCCAAAGCGCAGGACAGAAATATGCTCTCAGGCTAGATTCTGTTCATATCATAACATGACCTGAACCAAAGTTACTCAAAGGATCTTATGATATAGGCCTAGGTATTGTTTTTACCTAAGCCTTTATGTGTTTAATGTTTTTTTTCTTCTAATTGTAGCTACTACCTTTAGCACTTTAAGTTAATAAAGGATTGTATTGTTTAAATCATTTTTGTTTTTTAAGCACTACTTCACTGCTTTAGCACAAGGCCACATTCACGTGTTCCAATGTGAATTATTTTAAGAGATGGGTGGGTCTAAATGCGGCTACACGGTTAAAGTGTGTAGATCTATGCGCATGCATGTTCGTGGGTGGAGTCGTTTTTTGGGGGCAGCGGACTATTTTCTTTGCGTTACACCCAGAGAGGAACTCTGCCTTGTGTATGTTCAATACTTTTGGATGTCGGTTGCCAGATTTGACAACTTGCTTCAGCGGCTTGCCCCTCACATCTCGCACGAGAGAACTCACAGCTTGCCTGTAAGTGCTGCAGAAAGTATGTCTGTGACCCTTCGTTTTTTGGCGAGTTGCAGCACATAGAAAAGTATCGCAGCGAGTTATACAGTGAAGGAAAAAAGTATTTGATCCCCTGCTGATTTTGTACGTTTGCCCACTGACAAAGACATGATCAGTCTATCATTTTAATTGTAGGTTCATTTGAACCGTGAGAGACAGAATAACAACAAAAAAATCCAGAAAAACGCATGTCAAAAATGTTATAAATTGATTTGCATTTTAATGAGGGAAATAAGTATTTGACCCCTCTGCAAAACATGACTTAGTACTTGGTGGCAAAACCCTTGTTGGCAATCACAGAGGTCAGACGTTTCTTGTAGTTGGCCACCAGGTTTGCACACATCTTAGGAGGGATTTTGTCCCACTCCTCTATGCAGATCTTTTCCAAGTCATTAAGGTTTCGAGGCTGACGTTTGGCAACTCGAACCTTCAGCTCCCTCCACAGATTTTCTATGGGATTAAGGTCTGGAGACTGGTTAGGCCACTCCAGGACCTTAATGTGCTTCTTCTTGAGCCACTCCTTTGTTGCCTTGGCTGTGTGTTTTGGGTCATTGTCATGCTGGAATACCCATCCACGACCCATTTTCAATGCCCTGGCTGAGGGAAGGAGGTTCTCACCCAAGATTTGACGGTACATGGCCCCGTCCATCGTCCCTTTGATGCGGTGAAGTTGTCCTGTCCCCTTTGCAGAAAAACACCCCCAAAGCATAATGTTTCCACCTCCATGTTTGATGGTGGGGATGGTGTTCTTGGGGTCATAGGCAGCATTCCTCCTCCTTCAAACACGGCGAGTTGAGTTGATGCCAAAGAGCTCGATTTTGGTCTCATCTGACCACAACACTTTCACCCAGTTCTCCTCTGAATCATTCAGATGTTCACTGGCAAACTTCAGACGGCCCTGTATATGTGCTTTCTTGAGCATGGGGAACTTAGGGCGCTGCAGGATTTCAGTCCTTCACGGCGTAGTGTGTTACCAATTGTTTTCTTGGTGACTATGGTCCCAGTTGCCTTGAGATCATTGACAAGATCCTCCCGTGTAGTTCTGGGCTGATTCCTCACCGTTCTCATGATCATTGCAACTCCACGAGATGAGATCTTGCATGGAGCCCCAGGCCGAGGGAGATTGACAGTTATTTTGTGTTTCTTCCATTTGCGAATAATCGCACCAACTGTTGTCACCTTCTCACCAAGCTGCTTGGCGATGGTCTTGTAGCCCATTTCAGCCTTGTGTAGGTCTATAATCTTGTCCCTGACATCCTTGGAGAGCTCTTTGGTCTTGGCCATGGTGGAGAGTTTGGAATCTGATTGATTGATTGCTTCTGTGTACAGGTGTCTTTTATACAGGTAACAAACTGAGATTAGGAGCACTCCCTTTAAGAGTGTGCTCCTAATCTCAGCTCGTTACCTGTATAAAAGACACCTGGGAGCCAGAAATCTTTCTGATTGAGAGGGGGTGAAATACTTATTTCCCTCATTAAAATGCAAATCAATTTATAACATTTTTGACATGCGTTTTTCTGGATTTTGTTGTTGTTATTCTGTCTCTCACTGTTCAAATAAACCTACCATTAAAATTATAGACTGATCATGTCTTTGTCTGTGGGCAAACATACAAAATCAGCAGGGGATCAAATACTTTTTTCCCTCACTGTAACTTACTGTATAAGCTAGGAATCTTGACAGTTTGTGGCATCGTCACGGAAGTGTGCCAGGCTATCTGGCATGTCCTGAAGGAGGATTTTGTTGCCTATCACTCCGTGGCACAATGGCAGAAATCGCCAGAGATTTTGGGGAACGTTGGAATCTTCCATTTTGTGCAGGAGCTATCGACGGACAACATGTTCAGATCCGAGATCCGGAAAACTCGGGCAGCAATTACTACAACTACAAGGGCTTTTTCTCAATGGTCCGGATGGCAGTCTGCGATGCAAGGTACCGACCATTACCAGGTAAGATAAGC